CCTACAATCAAAGAGTATTCTGAACTCCACTAACAATAGAATTGGGCACACAGAACCCCCATGACCAACAGGAAATACTGTGTTTTCTGGTGGTCTTTGGCGACCCCTCTGATGCCCCCTCACAACCCCCCCAGGGGTCCTGACCCCCAGATTGAGAAACGCTGGTCTAGATAGACAGCGATCTTTAAGCACTCCATTTACCCAAAGTTGCTCAAGTAGGCAACAATTTTCTAGAAGCTGCTCCTAGCAGATTTATTCATGAAATTATTTATTTATATACAGTATATATTGTGTGTGTATTTGTATATACACACAGAGAGATATCATCATTCACAAAATAGTGGAATTATAAATGCTAGAAGTTCAAAAGTTTGTGAAATGTCTATAACACCCATGCATTGTAAGACAGAAATGTTCTCTCTGCATGTATCAATGAGTTCATCTACACTTTAGTATCAATGCATTTTGCCACCACTTTAACTGCCATGGCTCAGTGTTATGGAATTATGGAAGCTGTAGTTTTACAAGGTCTTTAGTCAACTCTCCTAAAGAGTCCTGGTACTTCATAAAACTACAACTCCCATGAATCCTTAGCATTGAGCCATGACAGTTAAAGTGATGTCAAATTGCATTAATTCTATTTGATAATCTCTCCTTCAAATATATTCTATTCAGATGTCATCAAATTAACCTCCCCAAGAAGTAATCTCCTTTCCCTTAATTTGATCCACAGTAAAATGGGCAAAACAAATTAGCAATATTTTTTCCAAGGGTTGGATAACAATCAGCTCATTGAACAGGCCTGTTGGGAAAAAAATTCATAATTAGCAAGGGTTTGTCTAAACTTGCTGTTTAAAGCAACAAATCCTCCACGATATACAGATGTGGCAAGATGTTAATGACTATCAATCATGTCCTTGGCATGTCTGCTCTAACTCCCTGGCTGAAAGCCATGCTCTGCTTGAGACGTGTTTCTTTCCATGCTTTCCAACCAGAGATTCATACAGCCTCTTGCTCTTTCAGAGGAAGAGATACACCTTTCTCTTCGATGCTGAAAGACTGATGTTGCCAACTGAAATTCTGAAGGTGTCTATCCAATAGGAGAGTCTGCATATAGGTTTTGACTCCCAGAACAACAAAGTCCCACCTTTTCTTTCAGAAACTTTATCAGCCCATTTAAAAATTAATGCAAAAGGTAGCAAAACTCTTTACTCAGTTACACAACCTTTGGTTCCTTGGGGAGACCCCACATTTTTTTTCACTTTCTGTCCTTAATTGAAGTGACAGTGGAGACTCATCTTCATGCATGAATCCTGATATGGATGCATCACTTCTAACCTGCATCAAAGAGGACATGCAGTATTCCCTCACTACTTTGTGATTTGCTTTTAGCGGACTTGCTGTTTTGAGGTTTTTTGAAAATATTAATAAAAATATATAATATTTACATCCAGTGGTGGTCAGGGACTCCGGAAGTGCAGCATCTGAGGAGCGGTGGGGAAGGGCTGCCTTCCTGGCCTCCACAGACCAGGCTCCGGAGGCTCTGCCGGGATCTGTGGAGGCCAGGGAGGCAGGCAGGCACCCTTGGGATGGACCAGGAGGTGGGTAAGGAAGCGCGGGTAACAAAATAATATATAAAATATATAAAGTAATGTATAAATATTAAAATTAATATGGCATCCCTACTTTGCAGATTTTCACATATCGTGGGTGGTCTTGGAATGGAACCCCTGCGATAAATGAGGGAACACTGTATATTCTTTAGTTAACAAAGATTCTGACAAAGAAGCTACTTTTTATAAAGTCTTTTGGTGGGTGCCTTGCCTCCCCTCCCCCAGCCTCTCTTTCTTATTTTCTGTTTTACCTGAAGTTTTTCTTCTTCTCAGTATTGGCATTGGGAGGATGGTCAAGATCAGCTGGAGAAATTTTCTGGACAAAATTTGAGTATTGGATAATAGTACTATGTCTACAATAAACAATGTAATAAATTTAACATAGGAAAAATGGGATTTTATTGTAGGTGATTCTGCTGTAGCTGTGTGTGCTTAGGTACAGCAGCCAGTTTAAACAGCAGCTGTCTCCATAATCACGTTCTGAGCAGTGTTCAGAGCAAAACAGAAAGAAACGGGCAAGGCAGACTTGCTTGTTTTACAGTTATTCTGACATGTAGAAAAGGGATAGATCTATATGTTTCACCATAGAATGGAAATCATTAGAAAAAAAGATACTCTTGAAAGGGAAAGAACATCATTCCTGAATTATTTGGAAGAACCTTCAAGTGGTGTCTAGGAGATTCAAAATGTTTTTTTGTTTACTTATGCAAGGCGCACCTAATTTGGTTGTTTCATTTCTTATGTGCATAATATTAGTTTTGGATAAAAGATTTGCTGAAATATGCCGTACTGATCTTTTAGTTGTATAGAAACCCATCCCCATTCTTTCCATGTTATTTCTTCCTCTGGTTCCAACATTTCTGTTAAACAAGTAAAGTGCAGGAACACATCTTCTACATTACCCAAGGTGTGCTCTTATAGGTTAATTTAGGTTAATTTAACCTTGGATGCAAATAAAGAGTGACTTTCTACCTGGAGAAACATGTGGTGCAGAATTGGCACTTCTGTAAGCATTCAAGTGTATGGTTATAGATTGTACAAAAAGTACCCAGCAAAACCAAAGGTTTTTCTATAATCACAGCACTAATTTATACAGTTCTGTGGACGTATGATTTTCATCTTTCTGCACCAATTTTGCATCAGGGAATTTTTGTGCATTTGTTTGTCTTCTCTATACTGTACAAGTGCAATTCTCATCTTGGAGGAAGGAGGGGGGATGCAGTAGCACATTGAACATATTTGTGTTTATGAAAGGGAGCAGCCATTGCTTGATTTACCATTATGCTTTGGTGTGCTTGTTGACCAGTGAGGCCCATGTTCCTCCCCCCCCCCCAATTTTTTTTACTATGGATTTTGCTTATGTAGTGCAATTCTACATTTGAAGGTATTCTGTTTCAGAGCAATTCCAGACATAATGATAGAGTTGATAATATATTGGAGTGTGACACAAAGCAGGCAGTGTAGGCCTACTGGACTTACCTCCTTTGGGGCCCAAGTAAGGGCCTCATAACTTAACTAGCCCAGGGCCTCATTTGTCCTAAATCTAGTACTGGGAGCAGCAGTCATGATGGGCAGCCCTCATGACACTGGAGCAATGGATACTCTTGAGTTTTAGTCCAGATTTGAAAGATGTTGTCTAAGATTTTATGTGGGTACATATGACTTTGTAAGATTCTGTAATGTCAGCATTCAGCCATTATGTTATTATGCAGGGACATCAATAAGTGACCAATGTGTATCAGGACCAATTCATAATAGGACCAGTGTGCATTGAGATCAACATGCATTGGGACCAATGTGCATCAGGCCAAAAAACTTTGGTCCTTTTTTGTGCTTTGGGACGCCAGCTACATACATACTCTGTGTTAGAGGAGCCTAGCCCTTCTCCAAAATGTTGACCGTATTTTGAAAATAGGTTTAGTATCTTGAATTGTGTATTGAAAGTTCTGACTAAAATCTAGAGTGGATTGACGTAAAATGGATTGACAGGGAGGAGAGTGCTTGACCTTCCAGGTGAAGCCAACCAAACCTTTACTTGACATTAGTGCCAGTCCAGCCTGTCTGCACCCTAGTTCCCAACTTGGGTGTGGTAGGAGTGTCTGTGAAACTGGATCATGGCAGCATTGGGAAGAAATGAAAGCAGGCAAGTGCTCTTCTATCACTTTAGTATCCATCATCTTCACCTTGATTGACAGATTACCAAGTCTCCAATGCACATAACCTCCTTTGTGCAATCGCTCGGTGAATTAAAGAATTGGTATAGGGTAGGAGAGAGGCACGAAGAGTGAGTTAAAAGAGACCTCTAACACTAGAAGAAATGTTGGTGCATCCAGTGTCTCATAGTGCTCTCAAAAATAAATCTACTTTCCACTAGAATGAGGTCCATTTTCATCATAATGGTTATCATATTTTCATTTGGAAATTTCACATAGCTTTTGCAAAACTTAGAACTGCAGGGTATATTTTGAAGAAGAAATGCAAGGCAGGTGAAGGACCCATTCTGCCTGGAAAATTACTTGCAAAAGCCTGAATTAAAATGATAGAAACAGCATAGAACACAATGAATTCTTGCAGTTTTCAGTCACTAACAGAAGAATCAATGTGGGGTATGGTATTCATCTGAGGCTTATGAATTCTATATTCTAGTCCCCACTGAACAACAGAATTCACTGAATTTCTTTGGACAGGTCACTGTTTGTCAACACCCACTTCGCAGGTCTGTAATGGGGATAAAACATAGAAGAGGAGAGCCCTGCATGCTACCTTTGGCTTGTTGCCCCCAAAGTAAAATAGACATATGCAGTAAATCAAATAAATGCAATAGATCTTCTAAAAGAGATGTTTCCAAACACCTCCACTTTTTATTTATAAATAAGTATGTGCATTTTCAAAATCCAGATGGAAATTGGAGGGGGGGAGAGAGGTTGTTGAGAGAGAAATGTCACAGCAAATGAGCCACAAATTGGTTGCTAAAAGATATATAGTATGGACATCTGGGAAATTAAGGGAATTTTTGCTAAAATAATTTCATTCTGCATGCAATAGTTTCCATTGGCATGGCTTCTCTATTAATGAAGTTTCAGTATGTATTCCCTTCACTTTGTATCAAATGTTTGAAAGAGAAAAAAGATATGGATACAGAAAGAGAGATTGTGAATGGAGTAATCCAATCTCGGATGCCAATTGAGACAATTTTGAACATCTTTTGTTTCATTGAATTTAAAGAAAAATATGTATAGAAAGCACAGCCCCTCTTTTGGATGAGCTGTTACTTTTTTCCATGCAAGCACATGTTTTCAGCTTGCCTCACCCATGAGGGTGTGTTTTGGCAATATGTGTGCTTTCTGTTAGCATAAACACGCCCCACAATGACAACTATAAATGGAGCCCGGCAAAGTTTCAAAGCCTAGCTCTTGCATGCTCAGCCAAGCCAAGTAACAGTCTTGCATCTGAACCTTCAACTATTGTTCCCAGAATGTCTACCTACTATAGTTCCTCTGCTTCTTATGGTGGTGGTATGGGTTTTGGAGGTGGGGGTGGCTCCAGCCGTGTGTCCTCCGGCAGCCATGGTGGAGGTGGTGGCCGGATGTCCTCCTCTTCTGTTAGGTATGTCTCTTCTGGAGGAGGACATGGAGGTGGTTATGGAGGAAGCTTAGGAGGTGGGTATGGTTCTGGATTCATCTCTGGTGGAGGTGTTGGCTTGGCTTCAGGATATGGTGGAGGTGCTGGCGGAGGCTTTGGTGGAGGCTATGGTGGTGGCTTTGGTGGAGGTGCTGGTGGAGGCTATGGTGGTGGCTTTGGTAGTTGCTTTGACTATGGTGGTGGAGATGGAGTCCTCCTTACTGGAAATGAGAAGGTGACAATGCAGAATCTCAATGACCGCTTGGCCAATTACCTGGATAAGGTGCGGGCTCTGGAAGAAGCAAACACTGACCTGGAGGTCAAGATCCGAGACTGGCACCAGAAGCAGGCCCCTAGTAGTCCAGCTAAGGACTACAGCCATTATTACAAGATTATTGAGGATCTCCGTGACAAGGTAGGACCATCCAGATGAAGATGTGTAAGCATGGAGGGGGATTTCATCTTCCAACTTACATCTGTAGCATGATTTTAAATGATCCATGTAATAGAGCATGATATATTGTACAATGTGATGTTTCTCTGGGGATAAACAGATCTAATATAACTCCAATTTCTGCTTAAAAATCAAGCCAAGCAAAAAGGAAACCTTTGTCTTTCTGTTAAAAAGAAAGAAAATGAAATGAAATAGCAACCTGATGGTACTAAGAAATAACACAACCCAATTTCATGAAATGTTACAAATGCAACCAAATCTAATAAGGTTATTCATTTTGTGATGCAGAAAAAATGAACAAATGGGAAACCAAAGAAGCATGCTGCTTCTTTGATTGCAACAAAACTCTAAAATATGTTGGATTCCCAAAAGTTCAACTGAATAAGATGAGATAACTGCAGTTATCAGCTGTGTAAATAGTTTTTAAGATGTACATTGCAGGTATTCGAGTCTGTGTGATGCAGTGGCTTGATTGTTGGACTACAAGTCTAGGATCCAAGCTTCAAATCCCTGCATGGCCATGGAAACCCAACTTGGGAAAGTCACACTTTCTCAGCCTCAGAAGAAGGCAATGGCAAACTTCAGCTGAAAAAAATAATTGGTAAAAATAGTCCCGTAATAGTCTTGCTCTGCATCACACAACTTGAAAGTATACAACAACAAAGCATGAAATGCTTTTAAAACCAGTGGATGGGAAATGTTTGAAGCTCTTCTTCATGGTTTTGTGAAACACATTTGTGGAAGGTCAAAATGCATTTGAAGGGGGGATAAAAGGGTGGCAGTCCAAAAGGAATCTCCCCCTGCCTCAAAGTCCTAGATAATTGTGCAAATATAGTGTCGTTATGCTTGGCAGAGAAACCATCTTCTCATACTTCTGAAAGCTTTAGGTACTTAATTTCTGCTTTTGGGGGTAAAGCTAAACTAACAAGAGCAGAACCTGTAAAAGTACATGCAAGTAATTTCTGTGAATCTCTGTATTCTATGATTTATCCATCTTCTTAGATGATATGTCAGAAAGCATGAGCCTATACTTTACCTTGAATAAAGCCTCCAGCCAGGAAATGTTTAGCTTCTGTTCCAGACTGGGCGTGTCTGGTTGTGGTTAGTCCACAATAAGGAAAGGCATTATATACAGGTTCAGAGGTACTCCGATGCTACTTTGCAACATCAAAGGCATTTTGAAATATTTCCAGATATGATTTCTACATCATAACTTGATAGTTCTATAGTAGATGAATAATCAGTCACGTGATCAAAAACAACAGTGTCTAGGAATTTCCTTTGTTGTTGAGGGTAAGGCAAAAAGAAAAATCTGCCATCTTTCAAACATGCAAGTCAGTCATTGAGTCGTGGGTTTTTTGATCTCTTGAGAAGCTGTCCAAAATCAAACCAGACCACCTCTAGATCAATATAGTCTGCTCCAATTGGCATCAGGTCTACGGTTTATCTGGAGAGGGGATGAAACCAGAAGCTTATGTCTGTGAAACATGTTCTCTACCATCAAACTTATTAAGCCCTTTATGAGCAATAAACTAATGCATTATTGTAGTGTTTTATACCTAATTTCATTATTATTGGTAATAAACTAAGATCCAACCCATGATTATACTAATTTGGTTCAGCAGACCACCTTTAAGTGGTTCTCAGATACTGAGTCAAACTTGTCAAACCATTCTTTACAGATATTGATGGTTGACTGATGCTTTGGTTTAATATTCCCTCTTATGGCCAAGGAAGTTTGGGTTCTGTTCTTTGTTTTTGTTTATCTTAAACTTCATTAAGATCCATACAACTCACTTTGGTATAAAAAGAGGGCTCCTTGCTATTTTTTGTCCATATGTTCTCATTTATATTCATGAACATTTCTGAAAAATAAAATTATGGAATTGCAAGAGACCACATGGACCATTTAGTCCTCCTGCCGCACAGGAATACACAATCAAATCACTCCTGAAAAATGGCCATTCTGCCTCTTCTCAAGGCTAGATCATGCCAAGCTCCCTGAATTGTTCCTCAAATGACATGGCTTCCAGACCTTTCGTCATTTTGTTTTCCCTCTTCTGCATAAGTTTGAACTTGGATTCAAAACTCGACAAAGTAGATTTTTTTTATTTCCAGATTAAAAAGTAGGATCCGGGGTAGATACAGTTTAGGGTGCAACACATCTTCCAAAAAGAGCAATAGGACATGTGTCTACACTGTACTGCTGCTAGAGGAATGAAAGTATACATTAAATGACTTTAAAGAATACACTAAATGGCAGGACATTGATCTGATTGATTTCATATGGCACATTGAACTTTTTTTCAGGATAGCATAGAACTGGGTTGCTGTGAGTTTTCTGGGTGGTATGGCCATGTTCCAGAAGCATTCTCTCCTGACATTTCACCCACATCTATGGCAGGCATCCTCAGAGACTGTGAGGTCTGTTGGAAACTAGGCAAGTGCAGTTTATATATCTGTGAAATGTCCAGAGTAAGAGAAAGAATTCTTGCCTGCTTGAGGCAAGTGTGAGTGTTGCAATTGGCACCTTGATTAGCATTCAATGGTCTTGCAGTTTCAAAGCCTGGCTGGTTGTTGCCTGGGGGTCCTTTTGTTGGGAGGTGTTAGCTGGCCGTAATTGATTCTTGTCTGGAATTCCCCTCTTTTTTTAGTGTTGTCCTTAATTACTGTCCTGATTTTAGAGTTTTTTTAATACCATTCTAACAACTACCATGTCAGATTACACAGGGAAGCCGTTGAATTACAAGCATGTGGACATTTCAACAGAAAGGAAGAAACCATGAAGGTGAACAAAATGGCTGTTTTAAATACTGGCTACCAGTATTTAAAAACTCTAAAATCAGGACAGTAAATAAAGAACAATACCCCCAAAAACGAGGGAATTCCAGACAAGATTCAATCAGAATCAGCTAACCCCTCCCAACAAAGGATTCCTCTGGGTGGCAACCAGCCAGGTTTTGAAGCTGCAAGGCCATTATTATTCAAGATTGCGGCATTCACACTTGCTTCAAACAGGCAAGAGTTCTTTCTCTCACCCTAGACATTCCACAGATATATAAACTTCACTTGCCTAGTTTCCAACAGACCTCAAAACCTTTAAAAATGCCTGCCATAGATGTGGGTGAAACATGAGGAGAGAATGCTTCTGGAACATGGCCATACAGTCCAGAAACTCACAGCAGCCCAGTGATTCTGACCATGAAAGACTTCGACGATAGCATAGAACTGCTCAATGGGACTGATGGTACAGACATAACTTTAAACAAGGGATGAGGAAGACATTCATTTTTATACAAATGTCTCTAAATTTGAACCTTTGGACCAGCACATAGACTAAAACCCAGTTAACGTTCAAAATTTACACATCTTTGAATCTTATTGGGGAGGTTTACCATAAAAAAACACAGATATTGAGGAACCATACAAAAAGAAAATAGTAATCAATTATAATAATACTACGAGTGAAAGGCCCTGCTAGCTCAGTTCTCCAGTCGACTTCCAATTCAGTTGGCTAGGTCGAAGCAGTTAGATTAGGAGTAATGCCAATTGCTGCACTATCTGGGATTTGCTTGCGTAATGAGATCTCTGAAACCTTTTTATGCAAGCTTGCCAAAAGTGCATCCAATAGTGCAGTAGACACTCATGCTAGCATAGTGCGCTTAGCTAATAGGATCCTTACTTTAAAATGCATTGCATTTTTTTAAATGCAAAAAACCCCACTACCTCTGAGGATGCTTTAAAAAAACCTCACTACCTCTGAGGATGCTTGCCATAGATGCAGGCAAAACGTCAGGAGAGAATGCCTCCAGACCATAGCCATATAGCCTGAAAAAACCCACAACAACCCCCCCCCAAAAAACTGTTTGAAAAAAATCTATATTAGGTAAAAATTGCTTACAATTTTGTATATATCCAGAGGACTTCAGATAAAAATAATACATTTTTTGTGAAACATTTTAAACAAAAATTTTAATAATGGAAAAATCACCAAAGTTTTGGAGAAGATTAGAAAAATAAAAACTCTGAGAAAATAAAACGGATAGACTGTATTTTATGAGTATTATCTTAAGTGAGCCTCAAGTTCCGAAGCTCCCCTCTCCTTCTTGCCAACCCTTCTTCAGATGCTTTAATTTTTTATTTAGGTTGATAGCACTTTACTGTGTTGTAGAAAGCTGAAAAACAGTGGTCAATCTTGACTATATTTGTTAACACAAGCCAGTTTTAAACCACAGTCTAAGAAACTTGCTCACTTCAAATAAAGTAACAAAGAAGCGATCATAGTGAAACATTTCTTGGACTTTTTTGGGCTAATAAAAATGGTAGTAAAAGCTCCTGGCCATCTCCTTAATATTGTGCCAGAAGAAGAAAAAGAATAATCCTACTGAATTGTTCAGGATCAAGAAAGAAGTCAAGCTAACTAAAATCTGGATAATTAAAGATAACTTTACATTTTATTTTCTGATCTTTCAGTCTACTACTCTCTAGTTGTTCTCAGCCTAAGGGCTGAGAACAGCGGTATACAAATAAAGTAAATAAATAAATAAATATATTCACAATTTCTAAAATATATTGTTTTAATTCCTTGATAATATCCTAAATAATGCAATGTCTTCCAATGAATTCTATTTTCTTTTGCCAGTATTTATGGACACTCCTTTATCTTCTCTTCCTCTGTTTGTCACAGATTCTTGGTACCACCATTGACAATTCTAGGGTCATCCTGGAGATTGACAATGCTAGATTGGCTGCTGATGATTTCAGACTGAAGCAAGTATTACTTGTCTTTTATTTTTCATTTCTCTGAGGTCAAAAATGGAGAAGGGGGCAGAGTAGGGAACATGTGGTTTGGTGGAGGATGTATTAAAAACATTGGCTGTATTTCTACTCATTACTTAAGTAGGGAGATGTTTAGAGGGACATTTTGAGGGGACTTTTCACTTTTCATGCCATCTCATCCCTTAAGTGGAGGATGTCTTGAAAACATCAGATGTCCTCCCTAGAAGAGTAAGACAGAAAACAAGGACAGGCCTTCACATCTTTCCTTTATTCTAAATTCCTGTTTGTTTGTTTTTTCTTTCACCTGGGCAGATATGAGAATGAGTTGCACCTCCGTCAAAGTGTTGAGGCTGACATCAATGGTTTGCGCAGAGTCTTGGATGAACTCACGATGGCCAAATCTGATCTTGAGATGCAGATTGAAGGTCTGAAGGAGGATCTGGCCTACCTCAACAAGAACCATGAGGAGGTGAGTGAAGGAAAAAGGAAAGGAAGAAAGCTACGGTTTGGTAAAATTCAGTTATAGAGACTTGACACAGCTGCTCTCCTTTTCTCCATGGGATCTTATGCAATTGGAGTACAAAAATATATAGCACTTGTGCTTGAACAAATATGTATCCAGAAGCCCACAAATACTGTTCACAGGCCACAAGTGGCAAGTTCCAACTGAATTTTGGCAACCAGCAAATAAATCCTCCAAATAGCTCTATGGTGTGAATTAACCATTCTTAGAGCAATTAATTATACAGTGCTTCCAAAATTTGACCAGGCTATATCTTACAGTGAGATACAACATTAGTATTGTGTTTCAAGAACAGTGGTTACATGTACATGTACAAGCACATGCACAACAACAGCTTATGTTTTCTTTGTTAAGTTAGAAGAATGAAAGGCAGGACTTAGTGGATGCCAGAGCTGATGGCTAGCTCTATAATGTTTAAACCAAATTTGTAGGAACATCTTTACTACAGTTACACTATATAACTTACCCAAGTGGAGGTGATTTGATTATCCATCCCAAACACTTAGCTTTGAAAGATTTCATGACTGTTTACGAATGATGAATAGTTGCAAATGCAAATGTTGCCGTTTGGTGATTCCTTATTGTGTTGTCTCAATTTTGTCTCACCAAGCTAATGAAAGAATTCAGCACTCAGCTGACTGGAAAGGTCAGTGTTGAGATGGATGCTGCACCTGGAGTCGATCTTACCAAAACTTTGGCTGACATGAGGGAGCAATATGAACACCTGGCTGAGAAGAATCGCAGAGATGCTGAGACATGGTTCTTCTCCAAGGTAGGCATTTTTTTCATGAATGCTATAGTTCTACTGAAAACATGTTTCCTGATTTGTAATTAAGTATATACCACATGGAGATTAAAAAAGCTTGATGTAGCGGTCTGAGTGTTGGGCCACTACTCTGGAGATCAGGGTTCAAATCCCACCCGGTCATGTAGACCCATTGAATGACCTTGGGCAAGTCCCACTGGCTCAGCCTCAGAGGAAAGTAAAGACAAATCCACACTGAACATATCTTATTAAGAAAACCCTGCAACAGGTTTGCCTTCAGGCTGATGTAAGTAAAAAACAACAGCAACAATACCACTTGAATTGTTATGAGGCCTTCCAAAGAATCCTGAGTATTTTTGCTTAATCAGAACTGAACATTCAGTTCAGCTCCAGTTTCTCCTCCTGAAATTCTGTTGCTAAGTTGCTTGTCCCAGTGATGCAAAGGCCCATTCTGAACTTGGATGTCATTTTTAGTTATGTGATTCACTTACAATCTCCCTCCTCTCTCCAAGGGAATTTATTACTATTAATGCTATTCTTCAAATAGGCATTTGTTACATTGATTGTTTAGTTAGTACTTTCCTTTTAATTCCTTTAAAAATACCCCAAAATCCAATATGTGAGCAGATTTCCCATTCTTGACTGATTGAAATGGAATAAAATGAAATGTGAAAATTCCCCACAGAATGCCCCCATAAACATATAATTTCTGAAAGGAATATCATTATGCAATCATTAACCCCAAAAGAAAAAAAAATCAGATTATACTGTTGCATGTAGTATGCTACTTTCCAGACCTCTTCATAGAATAATAGAACTGGATGCATTACTTTCCAGATCTTATCAATTAGGTTTACTTCCCAATTCAATTAGGTTTATATCAGAAGAGCTATGCCTAGATTTGCTCAGTCTGTAGTGTACCAGTTTCTCCTAAGTATATATATAATCTATATCTGTGACATTGTCCTGAAGATATGGGATATTTTTCCACCAATATTTTCTTTGCTTTGGAATCTTTTTTCCTTCAGACTGAAGAACTGAATCGTGAAGTTGCCACCAACACAGAACAGATACAGACCAGCAAGACTGAGATTACAGAACTGCGGCGCACAATACAGGGTTTGGAGATTGAGTTGCAGTCACAGCTTAGTATGGTACGCTCTTATTTCCTTGCATGAAATAAGCCAATGTAGTGTAGCTCTTACCATCAGGAGGTTTTTCTCATATTTAGGTGGAATCCCTTTCCCTACAGTTTGAATTCATGGTTCTATATCCTGGTCTCTGAAGCATCAGAGAACAGGCCTCCATAATATGCTACACAATATGATATTTAAATCATGTTTTTTTCTTAATATTGTATCCTCCAAGCTAAATATACCCAGCCCTTCTTCATAGGGCATGATTTCCATGTGTGGTTATTAGGGCTGGGCGGTTTCGTTCGTTAATTTCGTAATTCGTTATTAATTCGGTTTTTTTATAACGAAGCGATATTGAACCATTCAGGAGCAACTAAAAAATGAAACAAATTTTTCCAATTCGTTTCGTAATTGTTTCGTAATTGTTTCGTTATTATTTCGTTATTATTTCGTTATTATTTCCGTATGTCTGGTGCAAGTTTTATAGTCGTTGTTTGTTTTATCAGTGATAAAAAAATAAATTATCACACCAACAGTCAACAACAGAGGGAGAGGGAAGCTTCAGAAGGTTTTGGAGGTTTTTTAGCGTATTTCGCGCTCGCGTCCGCCATTAACGAATCGATTCGTTATTGTTTCGGAAATCGTTTCTTTAATTTTTTACCATTTACGAAATTTCGTAAATATCGAACTTTTTAAAAGGAAAATTTCGGAATTCTTTTAAAAAACGAAACGCAAAAACCCCCTAAAAACGAATCGAATTTAGAAACAAATTTTTCCGTGGTTGCCCAGCCCTAGTGGTTATACTTTGTGTATTTATTTGTATCCATTTGAATGAGATTAAACTTTGCCATACGCATGTTAGGAATCTTTCAGAAACCCCTGATTTTTCTCCCTCATTAGAAAGCTGGCTTGGAAAACAATTTGGCAGAAACAGAAGGACGGTACTGTGCTCAGCTAGCCCAGCTCCAGAACTTGATCACAGCTGTGGAAGAACAGCTGGCAGAACTGAGGAATGACATGGAGCGCCAGAACCAGGAATACAAAATGCTAATGGACATCAAGACGCGTCTAGAACAGGAGATTGCCACCTACCGCAACCTGCTAGATGGTCAGGACTCCAAGTAAGTGACTGGACCATTGACATAAAGACAAGAAAGAAAGGAAAACTCCTGCAACACTTACACATTTTCTAAGTGTGCATCTCAGGAAAAAAATAGTGCACACTTAGAATGGTTAAGTGTGAACTGAACATAATCAAGTATTTGAAAGCACATGTGTGGTCTCAGAGAGTCAACTTTCACTGTACTTCACTTTTGATTGTTCAGGCTGTGACAAGTGTGATTGTGAGATATGTGAAAAGTTTTAAAATGCCTTCCTTAATGACCTCCACTTTCAGATCAATGCCAATGTCATTTTTACAATGCTTAGTTTGGAGTGGGCAGCTTCAGCAGGTCTGAGGGTCATTTCTACCATGGCATCTTCTAGGATGCAAGGAAGGAAGGAAGGAAACAATTTGTTGTGTTTTTCCTTCCCCTCCCATTTTTTTTTACTTCTACCTTTTTATTTTCTGTTCATCCCTCCCACCATCCTTTTATGACATCCTGGCAATCTGTGTGTCTTCTAGATAGATGGATACTATGGGGTGGGGGAGGAAAAGACCCCTACGCGTATTTTATTATGTTCAATATTTCTCCCCCTAAGGGTACCAGATTTTGTCTGTTCTTGGAAATTAAACAGAGTCAACCATTGTGAGTACTTTGATGGGAACGTACCTACAAATGGCAGGTGCTGTAGGCTATATTGTAGAGGAAGAAACCAATGCAGCCACTGCTGGGCATTCCTTGCCTAAGACAACTCTAGGAAATTCATGAGGTCACCATAGGTCTATAAGCGCACATACAGCTTCCTCCCTCACCAATTTAGAAGGTCCCAATGGACTGCCACACCAAAAGATACCCTATAATCCCAAGTGCAATATTATTTATTTATTTATTTATTTCCTACATTTGTAACCCGTCCTTCTCACCCCCAATGCATTAGGAAATGCATTGGGGGTGAGAAGGGATGTACATTGGTCTATCTCAACACTGCTCATTGGTCATTTTCTCTCTCTTTCAGGCTGTCGACGTGGTCTCCAAAGGATGGTATGTAAGATTTCAGCTTACTTTTAAAATAGCACTTATGAACTGTGCTGCGGGCAGGCCATTTATTAGAAAATATGCTGCTGAATTCTAAACCCACTGAAGTGAAGGGTCAAGTATCATGGCTATCTTGAATTCCATTAATTTAATAGGACTTTCATATCTAAAAATATTTAATGGAATTAATATTTTAATTTTTTTATGAGTAACGTGAGTTCCATTTAGGACATTGCAATAACAGGATACCAGATATACTTTGCTGTTGAGGTAATTCCCCTCCTTCTAAAATAGGCAGTGAGTGAAGTAGGGCTTGGGACTATGATGCTTAGTTGAAAGGAGTTACTCCTTGGTATAGCTACAGGGAGGTGCAAGATGAGGTTATTGCCCCTTAAAATAAGAATTCTCTCCTCAATGGAATTTTCCTTCACTCCCCAAATTTCTAGAATTTTAAATTACTGGAAGGAACATTTCAATGGGGGAGGCAACACTTTGCTTGGGGGCAATGCCCTCAGCCCATTTGCATAGATATATCCAACAGTATTACCATGCTGAAATCCCAAGGCAAAATTGCCTTCTTTACAAGCTGTTCTTTGTCTTAGGAAAGTATTTTATTGACACATTTTGCAATTGGATCTTGTCTTGACATGGCACCCACTTGCGGAATACTATATGCAATCTTTCTACACGAATTAGCAGTCTACCGCCTTTTCCTCCCCAGCAGTTGATCTACCCAAACTTGCTATTTCAGTTAGCAAACCAAGGCACAGGGCCGGCCCTACCATGTGCAGAATCAGGCAGGGTTATCTGGTGTCTAATTGTATCTATTTGACATCAAAATTGCTAGTTATTAAATTTATAAACAGGGTATTTATTGCTAGGCAGGGCAAACCAGACACAGAGCCAATGCATCCTAGTGACAACCCCATAATAGTTACACAAACATGTATGCAACTGAATTAAAAGGTGCAGTCAGTTGGCATGCCAACATGTTTCTTCAAAAAACCTGTAACCTACCCTGAAGATCTGTAAAGCTGAACAAGAATAAAAAGTTAAGAACTGTGTAGCCTTCCAAATGTTGGGGCATTTCAACACCCAGCATTCCTCGCTGCTGGCTATGCTGATTAGGGTGCTGATTTCCACCCTAGTATAAAACTTCTACCCAACTGCTAGTCCTGAATAGATTCTATCCATCGAATCTCCTCTTAAAGGTTGACTCAATACACATGTAGATCCCACTTCTTCAATTGGTCTACAGTACCAGAGATTAGCAATGGAATTTCAGTTTGACCCTACAATCGAAGAACGATTCCAATGTTGTTTCTGAGCTCATTGGGGTTTCCCATCTGAACCCATATGCTTTGGATCATCTGGAAATAGAAAATCCCATATATTATTTGGTTTACAGCATTAGAAACTCAATATACAAGATTTGAGTTGTTACAGGGTGTATCCACACTGCAAAATTATCGCACTTTGATCCCACTTTAATTCAATCTTATGAAATCCTATTATTATAACATTTATTTATTATTTATTTATTTAAAAGTTTTGTATACCGGCCTTCTCACCTCTCTTGAGGGACTCAGATCGGTTTCCAATCATAATATCACATACAATCAATAAAACATCATAATACATATTACAGTAAAACATTAAAACAGCAATTACAATAAATAACTATAATGGTCAGTCGTCACACTAAAATCGTTGCTCATCATCCTCCATCCATATCTCAGGGTGTTGGCCCACTCGTCGAATGCCTGTCTCCATAACCAAGTCTTCACCTGTTTCCTAAATGTCAGGATAGACGGGGCAGTTCTGATCTCCAGTGGGAGAGAGTTCCAGAGTCGAGGGGTCACTACCGAGAAGGCCCTGTCCCTCGTCCCCACCAGAAGCGCTTGCGAGGCCGGTGGGACTGAGAGCAGGGCCTCTCCAGATGATCTTAATAATCTTGATGGTTCATAGGGGAGAATACGTTCTGAGAGGTAAACAGGGCCGGAGTCGCTTAGGGCTTTATAGGTTAACACCAGCACTTTGAATTGTGCTCGGAAGCTAATTGGCAGCCAGTGGAGCTGGTGTAACAGCGGAGTGGTGTGCTCCCTGTACCCAGCACTCGTTAGTAGTCTGGCTGCCGAGCGTTGGACTAGCTGCAGCTTCCGGGCAGTCTTCAGAGGCAACCCCACGTAGAGAGCGTTGCAGTAGTCTAAACGGGATGTAACCAAAGCGTGGACCACAGTGGCCAAGTTAGACTTCCCAAGGTACGGGCACAGCTGGCGCACAAGTTTTAATTGTGCAAAAGCTCCCCTGACCACCGTCGAAACCTGGGGCATGATGATTATGATGCCAATTTTTATCTAAATACAGCAAAAGACTCAAATTCTGGGATGTGTTTCTTTACTTTCCTGCTAGACAGTTCTAATGCTGTAGTTTGAGGAGGGATGCTAGAGAACTCTAAGTATCTTGACAATCTACAATAGTCTACAGCAAAGTGGTATCAGGTTACTATCACTGTGCATTGTGGATACATCTATTCTTGTTGGGTGACTTCCCTCACCTGGTTGCTGGAGTAGGTAGACTTTTGGTCTCATGCAGTGGGGCTCTGATGTTCTAATGGAGAGCCTTCACTCTAAAGCATTGTCCTCCATTTACTTATTCTTCCCCTCTTTATCACAGCATCCTACGGCGGAGGTAGCACCACCGTCACCTACAGTGGTGGCAGCAGTAGTGGTGGTGGCGGCGGTGCTGGCAGTGGCAGCGGCAGTTATGGTGGTGGCAGCGGCAGTGGCAGCGGCGGTTATGGTGGTGGCAGCGGTAGTGGCAGTATTACCACTAGCACCAGCAGCAGCAAAGTCCGTTCCAGCAACTACTAAATTTCCCCAGGATCAGTGGTCTGGTTCCACCAGTTGTGTTCATCTGTGGGAAGAACCACCTTGTGCTTTTTGTCTGCTCAAGAAACACAGTGCATTCTCAAGATTCCCGATGCTTGCTAAGAGAAATTGCCTTCTACTTGCCCAATTGGCTTCTTGGCCACTCCCTAATGGCATCTTCTTACAAGCTTTGCCTCATTTATCACACCAGGCACACCTTTCTATAACTTTCTCAATGATCCTAATAAAGGAAAATCTTTCTGCCTTTTTTTGCAAATAAATAAGTGTTGGCATTTTTATTGTGTTGTTGTCCTAACCAATTGTGTTTCACAACTTGGAGCACTCCTGATGTTTAGAGGTGTTGATGACCTCAAATTTGTACACATTCAAAGTAGAACCTGAGGGGTGTGTGCTAGACTTCTGAGTCTGTTTTTTTCAATATAAAATTAAAACTTTGAGAAAATGAATACAACCCATACAATTCAGTACATACTTTCTACAGCTGCAAGGATTTCACCTTCCATCTTCTTCATATCATACCCACAATCAGATCTTATAGGTAATGAGTTATACATAATCTAATTGCCTGTAATATACACACACACTTTCTCTTTGAAAGTGGAGCAAGTCATATGAACAAAGTTACTGTATCAATGCCACAGTTGATGTTGCCTAGTTAGTTTGCAAAAATGCTTTAAATAGATATTTATTTGGCAGGTGTGAAAGGGGCTCCAGACAAGAAACATTCAGGAACACCTAATCACCTCTCAACAAAGGAATTTCCCAGGCAGTAACAAGCCACACCTAAAAACTGTCAGGCCATCAAATGCTAATCAAGGTGGCCAATTCAAACATTCACACTTAGCTCCAACAGACAAGAGTCCTTTCTCCCACTCTGGACTTTCCACAGATATATAAATCCAATTTTCCTAGCTTCCAATCAACCTCACAACCTCCAAGGATGCTTGCCACAGATGCAGGTGAAACATCAGGAGAGAATGCTTCTAGAACATGGCCATACAGCCCAAAAAACCTACAACATCCCAATTTTCCCCCAGCTTGATTCCATACTTTTTCCAATCCTTAAACATCAATGGAAAATTAGGAAGCAATAATGAGCCCTACAGCATTTAATGCAAGAGTTACTTCTCAAACAATACTCAAATAAATGGGTGGCTAGTGCTTTCCATGTTGATGGGTGGGTGGATCACTTCCAGATTTTCAGCCAAACTTGAAAAGAGCTATTCAAGATATTGGAGCCATTTGTGGGCTTGAGTTCAGCACTTTAAATAGTTCTTTAAAGTTCAGACTAAAAGCATGAGCAGATTTACTGCCCCACTGACATGGAAGCCTTTTACAGATGAAGTCCAGGTCACATATAACCAAGCAATGTCGGAATATGTTTAAGATGGCCAATATGAGTGATAAGGGAGAACGCACAAACTAAAAGATGCTGCAGTTTTGCTTGAGACTACTGGGAAGGGCAAGATTCTTTCCATCTCATCTACTCCCACTCAGGACGCTTCCAGACATAACAAAAATGTGGGCAAAAACAGGTTAAAATAACCCATTTTTGCCTGCATTGTCAGGAGCCCCTGGTGGCGCGGTAGGTTAAACCCTTATGCCAGCAGGACTGAAGACTGACAGGTCGCAGGTTCAAATCCTGGGAGAGCACAGATGAGCTCCCTCTGTCATGAGGGGACATGAGAGAAGCCTTCCACAAAGGATGGTAAAATATCAAAACATCCTGGCATCCCCAGGGCAACATGCTTGCAGATGGCCAATTCTCTCACACCAGAAGCAACTTGCAGTTTCTCAAGTCACTCCTGACATGAAAAAAAACCCACCCACAACCCAAACCTTGGATTTTCCCACCCAGGTGGCTAGATACTATCCCGATTGTAATTGTGTTAGGAGTCAGCCACCCCTCGGGCCCAAACTGAGCCCTAAAACATACCTGAAAGTGCGTGGCAGGCATGACTACATGCCTGAACGTATCTCCTGCTACAAATCATCACAAAGTTTAAGATCATCTGGAGGGGCCCTGCTCTCAATTCCACCACCATCGCAAACGCGATTGGTGGAGACAAGAGACAGGGCCTTTTCAACAGTGGCTCTCCGTCTGTGGAATTCCCTCCCCAAAGACATCAGATTGGCTACCTCCCTCCTGTCCTTTAGAAGGAAATTCAAGACTTGGCTGTGGGACCTTGCATTTGACCATTGAACAGCAGCTTGTATGAAGAAGACATAAGCAATTTCGAAGTTACAATGAATTGACCCGGACCCAGATTTTAATTGGCGTGTTTTAACAACTGTTTATTTAATGTTTTGTTTTAATGAATTTGTTGATTGTTTTTATCATTATGATAGCACCGAATGGTGCTTGCTGTGAGGCCACCCTGAGTCCCCCCTCGGGGGTGAGAAGGGAGAGGTACAAGTACAATAAATAAATAAATAAATAAATAAATAAATAAATAAATAAATAAATAATGCCTGTTTGTAAAGTTCTCTTGGCACACTAAAAAGACATGTGAGGAACATGGGAAATCCCTTCCCTCCCTCCTTCTCCTCACACTCCATTCTAGCAAACCAGGAGAACTTTATAAGCATGCTCTGTGCCTGGCAGCTGTATTCAGGTTTTAGGGCCTAAAGTTCAAACTGAGGGGGAGGGTATCCTCTCTGTCTTTCAGGCTCCAGGACGCCCCCCCCAAAAAAAACCCCAAAGCCTGTCTAAGATCTTTGGGGAGGGTGTTCCAGAGTCGGGGGGCCACCACAGAAAAGGCCCTGTCTCGTGTCCCCACCAAACGCGCTTGCGACGTAGGCGGGATCACGAGCAGGGCCTCTCCAGATGAACGAAGTGAACGCGTGGGTTCATAGACGGAGATGCGGTCATGCAGGTAGGCTGGTCCCAAACCGTTCACAGAGCCCACACCTGTTTAGACCCGGATCTTACCTTCAGATCCAGATCTTACCAGGTATTTAATTAATGCAGAGTTAAACCAGGGAAACCCAGTTTACTCCCCATTAATCCAGTTTTACCAAAAGCGTTGTTTGGACACCTTTGGTAAAACCGAGACAGATCCTGCATTTTGCGTCTTCTAGATGGGCCCTCAGTTTACTGGGTGAAAACTACTTTTATACTTTGAACTCACTTTGCAGCAATTGAATTAATCTGAGAACAAAGGAAGAAAAGAAGTGGAAACTAAATGAAAATGTGGGACAACAGAAAATTAATTGAGATTATTCAAAAACAAATCAGGACAGTTTGAGGGTATGGAAAATAAACAGTCACAACTGCAAAAGGCCACTGTGGCTTACTTTTTAAACACTGCAGAGAAACAGATTTTTAAAAGTTAGATTTTCTAAGATCCCCTGTTTTTGTAAGTATTGTGTCCTTTACAATATAGTCTTTCATTTGAGGATCTTCAAGCAGAGTTTCCTCTGGAAGTTTGTAAGAAGAGACCAGATGACCACCTGTCAGGAGTGCTTTGATTTTATGCTTCTTCATGGCAGAGGGTTGGACTGGATGATCAGTCTGATTCTATGAGCCTATGCTGTTATATATAAAAACAAAAGAACCACTAAACTACTTTCATTACTTGCTGTTTTGGCAATGAGCCTAGAATACAGCTATAAAAACCAACACCCCTGAAAAAGTAGGGCAGGCAATTATTTGTTTTCTATTTAAAAAGGATAATTGCATGTAAAACTTTCTTGAAGGGGAAGTGCCTTGTCCAAATGTCAATAAAGGTGGGAGATTTGTTTGAACAAATAGGCAAGGCAATTTAAAAAGTAATTCCAGAATGTGGCAGTTTTTTCACTGTATTGTAATGTATAATGCGGTGTCAGACCAAGAACCCACACATCAAGGTTGCCATCTGGCTGCCTTTTTATGATTCCACCATACTAATAAATCTAAGCAACGTAAAAGATGTCTTCTCAACTCAACAGCCTCCTCTACCCAAAATAAAAAAAAGGATTAAAACATTATTCGGGACCAGCCCCCAGGTGGTAGTGTTGAATTCTTAGGCCTAAGTCCAACAGCTAGTCCTAATTAGACTCATTGATAAGTTACTGAATAGTAAACCAACACTTAAGTGAATCACGTTGTTTCAGGGCACCTATGATTTCTGGATTATCAACTGCATTTAGATTAACAACCTCATCATACAGGGCTTAAATTGGTGGCATACGCTGGTTAAGCCCTAGGTCATCTATGGAGCCTGCTGACTCCCACCAAATGACATGGATGAACTTCTAACGGAGTTCTGTGGATATTCCACAGCAGAGCTGGAGTTGTCATAGGAAGCAATGGAAAGAAGCCACACAGTCCATTCGATCGGCTTCCTCAGGAGCTGGGCAATATTCTGCCCCTATACTCTCCCCCTGCTGAATAAATTTAATGAAGACTACTTTTGCATTTTTAATTCTATTTGCAAGAATGGCAGCAAGTCAAGGACAAGAGGAGATTCAATGCTAACACTAAAAATCTAAAACATAACACATCAACATTAAATTGCCAAATACACAATTTAAATAAAAACAATATAAAAAAGAATAAAAACATTCAAACAGTCAAACAGTCACCGATTTAAGTCATCATCCTAAAAGTAGTCCATCAAGTCCATTAAAACCATCGCTTTGCCAGCAGGTCAGTCTAGTCTGCAAAGGCCTGATCCCATAGCCAGGATTTCACTTGCTTCTGAAAGGTCAGGAGGGATGGAGCAGATCTAATTTTGCTTGGGAGGGAGTTCCACAGCCGAGGGGCCACCACAGAAAAGGCCCCGTCCCTTGTCCCCAACAAACATGATTGCGATGATGGGGGGACAACAAGCAGGGCCTCCCCAGATGATCTTAAGGTCCTAGGTGGATCATAGCGGGAGATATGTTTGGACAAATAAATTGGGCCAGAACTGTTCAGGGCTTTTAGCATGTTGGGTTGTGATTATGATATGATGTTCTAAAACATTGCCATTTCTAAATATTTTATTCCTATTCCAGGTTGCAATTTTAGTAAACTAGAGTGAGAGAACCCCTCCGAAAATTCCAAATGCATTTTTGCACATTTTTTGAATAAAAATGTCTAATACAAACATATGCATTTTCCCTTTAATATATTGTTTCTTCATACCCAAGAGAAGAAGAGTGGTTATATATCACTTATAAAGTAACTTGTTGCACTAACATTTGAAGAAGTTGTGAATGGTAAAAGGTACAGGTAAAGGTTTTCCCTTGACTTTAAGTCTAGTTGTGCCTGACTCCGGGGGATGGTGCACCTCTCCATTTCTAAGCCAAAGAGCCACCATTGTCCGTAGATGCCTTCTAGGTCGTGCGGCTAGCATGACTGCATGGAGCACCGTTACCTTCCTGCTGAAGCAGTACCTATTGACATATTCATATTTGCATGTTTTCGAACTGCTACGGTAGCCATATCCAAAATGGTAGCCATATCCAATGGTAGTCATATTCAAAATGAAAAAAAAATTTGGCTGACAATACTGCAGTTATCACAAATGTGGGACATAATAACTGGGAGAGAACACTAGAAACCATAATTAGTTTTTGTTTCGTATGCCACAAGGTGACTTTTGGGAGTATTTTCTCATCTATATTCTGTATGGGTATGTGAATTTATTGATCAAATCAATGGATCCAGATTACAGGGGGACCAAGATTTCAGTTCTGGAAACTAGTAGAATTAGAGGGCACTCACATTTGTCTTTTGAGTGGAACCTACAAGGCTTCCCAGTATGAAGCAGAAGCAAAATTGTCTTAAAAATCAAGGAAGGAAATTATGTGAGCAGATGTCCATATGTTCTTCAGATCTGGGGAAACATCTTTTACAGTTGCTCACAGCTAGAAATATAATTGCAACTATGTAGGCAGTCAAGAAGATAAATCATACATTGAGATTAAAAAGGAATAATGTACATGCAGGGGAAATGAAGAAGGCAAAGAGTGTGAGACATGAAAGGAAGCATATTGTGTAGACAATATCTGTACTTGTAGGAGTAAAACCAATTGAACATCATGATAATGAAAAATAAGGTATGGATGGAATCAAGATCCAGTTTGTAAAATCAAACAGTATAGCTGTGTATTGTAGTTTTATATCTAAATGATTTCAAATATGGGGACACAGTTTCTGTAATTCTGTAAACCGCAAGGCTCTACTGTACCAAGTGATGTCTTTTATTTGTCCATGAATGGAGCCATTTTGACGGTTTAAACAATGATACACTCACCTTGAACATATGAAATCCAGGGGAAAGTTTTAAAACTGCCTATATTCATGGTGTGATCCATACGATCTGAGAATCAAAGTGTTAGGCAGCAGACCAATTGACTACAGCGTTTGTTCGTCCATGAGAACACTAAAGGTAGTTATCCTCTTCTCCTGTTCCTTCCTTCTGGTACTCAGACCTGTTAGCGTTGCTCGGCAATCTGCCACTTGAGCAATACATGTGCAATTGTGCATCTGTGCATTTCAAGAGAGAAGCTTATAAAGATTTAAGAGACCTTTGCAATCTTACCATCATGAGAAGCATATAAACTTTAATATAAAGGCAAAGTACTGCTAGTAGTGTTTCATTGTCTTCCCTCACTTTCTTTGTCCATTTGGAAACAGACTTTCCTGCCATTGGAATAGCAATGTAAATTTCCTGGTGCCAGTGTAATTTAGTGATTTGGTCACTGAACTAGGACTTTGGGACCAAGTTCAGTTCTCTACTTGGCCATGGAAATCCACTTGATGAACAAAACCATGATAGCATCACCTTAGAGACACCTTAAATCAGAAATGACTTGGAGACAAACAATAACAACAACCATTTAATTCAAATGTTTTCTCTCTAACATGCATTTATAATACTTTTAAATTTTCAAGACTTTTTGCAAACATGTTTTTATTGCCTAAACTATTCAGACATCTTTTTCCTGGTAAGTTTTACATAACCATGGGAATATAAATACATAAAATGGGTATGTTTTACAGATAATAAATCATAAAGAAATGTATTTTAACATAATTCTTTGGTTTACATATAATTTTACAGTTTATTGAATATCAAAGCAACTTTGAATACTAATAAGATGGATGTGCTTGTTTATTTTTTTACATAGAGCCTCCTCAACATTTTTCATGTCATGTTGGAACGCCTGGTTTGCAGTCTCAAGTGGCAAAAAGTTGGCTCTCTTTTTTCTCCTGAATTGGAGGGACACAATGGGGTATTTTGAGGTTTTTACCTCCAATGTAAAAGGTTGCAGAGTGGGCCTTGAAATGGACCCATACCCACATCTCTCTTGTTCCCATCATTATTTGTTTCCATGTGTTGATAAATCCATAACCCCCCTCCCCATTGCTTATATCTTTTTCCTTTTCTTTAATTTTTGCAATGTTAATATATTTTCTAATTCTCTATTAAATATATATTTGAAAAAGACCAATTTTTTGGCACTGAAATCAGAGCCAACTCTTATTTAACTAGAGGCCAATTCACATCACAGAATTATAGTGCTGTTATTCCACTTAAACTACCTATACAATCATGAAGTTTTTAATTTGAAGGGACACTAGAGGATTTTTTTTGGCTGAGAATTTCCCATGCCTTTCACCTAAACTACTGATCCTAGGATTCTATAGGATGGAACCATGGCAATTACAGTTGATCAATAGTGCTATAATTCTGTTGTAAGGATGATAAAAGGGGCTGCTATCTTACTTTTTTTGTTTCAGGGAGAAAAAATGTGTTCAGCAGGCATTAGGAAGAGGCTCTTTAGAAAAATCTGGAATTGCTGGATCTGGGGCCCTTCTACACAGACAATAAAATCCAGTTTGAAGCATCTTAAGGTGTCTACAAATCATAATCCCCCTAATGCAATCTACAACATGAATCCTGTTAGAAAAGTGTGATTAAAAAAAAAACTCCCTGGAAATTTTGGATCAACTCAATTGAAGCTTATTTGTGTATAAACAATCCACAAGAGGAAACTGAATGCCAAATGCAGAGCACTTATGTAGACAGGGCTAACCCTGCAGCAGAGTAAGTAACCAGATACACAGTTCAGCCAGAATATAAGCAAATATCTCCCCTCTGGAAAGGAAACTGCAGCATGTTCATAGGAACACTTGATTGATGTCTCTTGCCTTGCTTTGCTGCAGTCTAACACCAAGAAGCTGTTTTCTACCAGTACTTCCAGTCGGAGGTAGGAGAAGAAAAAAATGGATTGGATTGATTCACACTCAGCAAGTCTCTGCCTCCAGCTACTTCAGGAGTGTCTGTTTAGGCACTCTAAAGTGAATCTGATCTTTTAAAATCACATGCCGATCTTCTACACAGCCATTATATAAATGTCTATGTAGAAGCAGCTATAGTCTCATAGAATCAGAAGAAGCCCCATAGACCTTGGACTTCAAACACTATTCCCATTCACTGCAGAAACCCCACCTAGAGCTACTGTTTTGAAGTTATACTGAGAAGGAGACCCCACATATACACACTTTTCTAGATAACTGGCTCAATCTGGGATTTCTATTTGTTCTACATTTAATGCGTTTGCAGGTTGCATTTATTCACATAATTTAGGAAATAATCCACTAAATTCAATGGGATTTTACAAATATGTTTATTATTGTGATGGTCAAGGCACACATTGAAACTTCTCTGAGTCCCAAGACCAGTTTCCAGTAATATCACCTTGCTCCACTAGCAAAACCTGAAGTCTAGTTATGATGAAAGGTCTCTTTGATGATGCTATAAAACAAACATCATAAATAGTGAAGAATCACTGGTGATGAGTCCCAACTTATCTCAGCTGCTTCTCTCTCACTCTTTCTGTTTTAATGAGAAGGTTTGTTCCCAATGGGCAATTAAAGCAACAGGCCATTCAATGCTCCTAAAGAGCCTGACACAAACTTTCCCAAGAGAAAGAACCTGTGTAATTTGCCAACACCCAATATGTGGAGTATAAAAACATCCCAGTGGGGTATAACAGGCTTACTTTTGGGTGACTTGGGCTTTTGAGCTATCCTGTAAATTTGCTAAAATAACAAACTCCAGCTAGTTCCACTCATACTTATTGCTATGGCTTCCAAGTACTATGCTCGTACCATCTCTTCTGGTTCCGTCAAAGGTGGTGGTCTCACTAGGATTTCTTCTGCTCATTCTGGTGGCTCATGCCGAGTACCTGCTTTTGGCAGCAGGAGTGTTTCTTCCTCTTCCATTAAGCTGGGATGTGGGAACTACATGCCCAGTATTTGCCCTCCAAACGCTTCCTTTGCCCCTTTTCTTTCTGGAAGTACTGGCTGGCATGATGAGGGAATCCTCAATTGCAATGAAAAAGAGCTGATGCAGTGCCTCAATGACCGACTAGCAAACTACCTGGAGAGAGTAAGGTGCTTGGAGCAGGACAACGCCAACCTGGAATGCAAGATCAGGGAATGGCATGAGTGCCAAGCGCCCTATGAAAGCACTGACTTCCATTCACATTACAAGATTATTGAGGAACTCCAACATCAGGTAATGCTCCTTTCATCATTTCGCCATTTAATTATCGCTAAAATGTATAATATTTCACAATACATTTACATATTGGTAAACTGTTTCTGTTGTAATTTTTTGTACAGTAGTTGATAGACATGCTGACTCTTGGTAGAACCATTTTAAAAATAATCGCTCATAAAAGTAAGGGTTGGAATTCCTCTGTATTCATCCATTAGTTCTGAATTAGTTTGCCATCTCATTTTTGAGATGCTGGCAGTCATGACATAATTGCCGTACTAACTGTGGGCACATCTTCACTGAACATTTAATGCAATTTGACAGCAGCATGAAAGCACATTGGTTATGCAATGCACACTATGAATACACCTTGCAGTGTGCTTTAAGACCTTTAAACTGGGATAAGCAAAGTCAGGGGGAACTCTGAAATAGAACCCTTAATGTGTATCAGCATGCTTTAGTATAAACCACATGGCGAAAGTGACTCCACAAAATGCAAATCACTGTGTGGATATCCAAAATGTTCTGGATGAATACATGAATATTTCATTGGAGGGAGTTGGAGGAGGGGTGAGGACATTCTCCATGGATGTTAAGCTGCAGATGCTGTGGATCCTGGAACCAGTTTGAGGCCACCCTCTTCGCCCAAACTGGTTCCAGAACTTGCAATGTAATCATTCATGCAGTGAATCTGCTTTCTTCTATGTTTATGTTTGGAGAATTTGCTAAAAGTTACTCATCATGTAATTGAAATATGAATAAGTTTTTAAAATTATACTGAAGAATGTGAAACCAACTTCCCAACCACCCCATCTCAATGCCCACTTGTCTGGTTGATCTACTCCTGATCACTGACTGCACCATCTTTGTCCAAAAGCTATCCTTTTAAAAAATGAGACAAATTATGTGTATAAATGCACATAAATTTTGAGCCCAGAGTAGTCCTTTTTTGACCAGGACATAAACAATATGTCATTTCTAATTTCCTTTTTGATTATTAACAATGACTTGTCCTGGGTGACTGGGTCTAAAAACACCTGGGCAGAAAGAAACATTGTGAAATTGTTTCCAAGACCCCTTTTACATTGCCATATAATACAGTGTCTGATCCCTGATTATCTGCTTTGAACTGGATATTATGGCAGTATAGATCCAGCCTAATATTCCCTAGAGCAGGTGTAGAGATATTGTGAATTTTAAAATAATCAAAATTTATTTTAAAAATTGGGAGGTAAGGAATCAAAAACAACCATGGGGTTTATATACTGCAAACAGACCATTCTTCTCCCGTTCCAGCACAATCATTCAGGAAATATCATCTCATTTCCCCCCCCAAAATTGGGGCTCAAAGTGTCCCACAAAAACCCACTTGGTGTCCTTGGTCAAGTTCATCCATATGGTCTTCTGAAACCAAGAGCCATTCCCTTCAGACTGAACCTCTAAAACAATAATGTTGCCCTCTAAAAACGGTAGTGTCCAAAATGTTTTTCCAAAACATTAAGAATAATTCGCAGCCCCGTTTTTTCTTTCCACAGATCCTGTGTGCCAAGACAGAAAATGCCAGACTGGTTTTGGAAATTGACAATGCTCGGCTGGCTGCTGACGACTTTAGGACCAAGTAAGTTACTCCTATTCAGCAGAAGAAGTGACTCTTGATACTTCAGAATGAAAAAGATTTTGCTAAAAACATTCCTTCCCAGAAAATGTGACTTATTATTTTAATAAGGAATAGAGAATTACTCTGATTGTATTGTTTCATCTTATCATTTCCTGTACCAAAGGTATGAGACCGAACTGGCTCTTCGCCAGTGTGTTGAGTCAGACATCCATGGACTGCGCAAAATTCTGGATGAAATGACCTTGTGTCGGGCTGATCTGGAAGCTCAGCTTGAATCACACAAGGAGGAGCTCCTTTGCCTCAAGAAGAACCACGAGGAGGTAAAGGGAGGTAGCTGCCTTGAATCCCATGTTTGGTGAAAGGTAGTCTTTGCTCATGAATGAATGAAATGTATCAATTGCAGCAGTTCATCAAAGGTGAACAATAGAGGACATTTAGAGAGGAACTCTCAGGTGATCTGTGTTTATGAAATTCCTTCTATCTTAGGACTTCATCAGACAGAGTGGGGGGAAAGCAGGTTCCTTCTCATCTTGAGGGGTGGCCAGCCATCCACATACTTACCTATCTTTCCCCTGTTTTTGCCCCACATTCTTCATTTACGTAACACCCAATTCCTGAAGATGGGCTTCAGGATACTTTTCAATGCACTTAGGAAATGGAGCTCCATGAATTCCCAAATGAAAGTGCCCTCACTTCATGTTATGTCCTCTTTAGGACTTCCATGGGGCTCTGTTTCCTAAGCACATGGAAACAAAGCCAGAAGAACATCTGATAAGTTCCCTAGGCTCAAACAAGATATGAATCAGTGTGTGCCTTCTAACTATTTGCAACCAATGGTGACCATAAGGCATGTAGTTAGCATAATTTCAAAAGAGGTACTATCTCAATTGTGAAAAAAACCTGTTTTTTATAGCATGCAATCTTCCTCGCCTGTGTTTTTGTGGTCCATTTTGAAAATGGTTATTAGAAGGGAAAAACAGGCATGATTTAAATGTCTTGTTACTGAAATATTTATCTTCTGTTGCTATAGGAAAAATGTGTTGATTACAGGGAATCAACATTCTCCTTTCTGACTGGTTTTAATGTTACACAGGCCTTTTTCCCCTAAGTTTGTATAGAATCATAGAATCAAAGAGTTGGATGAGACCACAGGGGCCATTGAATCCAACCCCTTACAATGAAGGAACACAGAATTCAAGCACCCTGGCAGATAGCCATCTGGTCTGTGCTTTAAAATATAATTAGCAATGAGGTAAGCTATGTTGGATGCTGTCACTTTACCTCAGGCAGGATTTATAATCTCATTTATAATCACATTTAACCCTATCAGGAAAAGTGGTAGGACCTAGGTCTGTGGTTTGGTCCTCTAGATGTTTTGGACTTTAGCTCCCAAAATTTCTGACAATCGGTCAATCTGAGTAGGACTTCTGAGAGTTGAAGTCCTAAACATATAAAAGACCAAAAGTTAGGAACCACTGAGCTTGTTGAAAAAAATCAATTAGTATTCACAGTTCCCAAAATCTACTGCCTGATCTGAAATAGTCAAGTGCTCTGGTTCAAATTAAGCCTTGTGTTTGACGAGCTGTTAATGGCAATAAACCCTGACCCACAGAATAGAATCTGTGTTTAACTGAAACCAAACCTTATTTGCTAAGTATTAATATAATTCAAGCTTTCCCTTCCCACAGGAAGCGAATGCCTTGCGATCAAAACTTGGGGCCAGGGTTAATGTGGAGGTTGATGCTGCTCCATCCTGTGACCTGAACAAGATGCTGGGTGAGATAAGGAATCAGTATGAATGTCTTGCTGAAAAAAACCGCAGAGATGTTGAGACCTGGTTCTCTTCTAAGGTAGGTATTGCATTTCTACTTATTAATTCTTTTTTTTTTTTAACTTCCATTCATAGTCTGCCTTTCTTTTAATGAAGTCAACAGAACATGTATAGTTCCGGAGCCCTTTGAAATAGGAAAGGCTAAAAGAAAGAAATCAGACTAAGATTTCCCAAGAATTTAATTTCTCTGTGGAAAATCAACATACCCTCCAATTGTCCCAGTTTGGAAGAGAAATTTCTGCTTAATACTCTGCCATCCCACCATCTCAGTTGCTTTTAAAATGTCCTAGTTTCTCTCTCCTTCTCCTTCTTCCCCATCTGCCTTCAGCTTATTTCAATTGGTGCATACTGGGTTCAAAGTGCAAAGGTAGTTTGCAATCAGTTAACTCACTGAGTGAAGAGGAGAACATAATCTTCCCCTTCTCTGTAGTATCAGACAAAAGCAAAGTACTGCAGCCTCTCCTAGCTGGTATGTTCTTCCATACTAAATAAGTTTTGCCATTTTGACCTCACTCAGATGCCAGGTGGTCACATCTATTTCCATTTTCATATGTGAACTATTGTAGGGTATATTTGACTCTTGCAAGTACGAGTCCAACATCCTGACCATTACACTGTATAGGCTCTTTCTTGAGAAGATTTGTCCAAACAGCCACAAAGGATAACTCATTTTCCTCTCTTTCACTTCCATTTTCTTTTACTTTTGTTTTGGGATTTAGATGGAAGAGTTGAACCAACAGGTACTCTCCAGTGATGAAGAGCTGCAGAATTGCCAGTCAGAAATAATTGAGTTGAGACACACCATGCAAGCACTTGAGATTGATCTGGATGCCCAGCAAAACATGGTAAGTCTACAGCATAATTTGTGGGTGCAAACTGCAAATTATAACCAACCTATTCATGAGACCAGTACCCATGTTTCTTATATCCATATCTCACTAAATATGTAATCTCCAGTCATTTTCTCAGTCTTCCATAGTATTCTGGAGCTGGAAGTTCTTCATAATACGTTTCCCTATCGTCCATGGTTTTCTGTTTCCAGGCAAAGTCCAGGAACTAACTCCATGGATATGGGAGTTGTGCTCTATTTGCAGTTTTTTCCTCTTCCAAAGAAAAGGAGGAGAGCCTTGACACTTAAAATACTATGCAAAATATAGTTGCCAACATTCTACATCAGCTACCTATATTGGAAATATTCATAACTTAAGAAACAGCTTCTGGCCCATGTCCTCTCATACCAAACTAGAGGAAATAAAGTTTTCTGGAAGGGAATTCTAAATGCCCCTCCCAATCTGTAACTTCAAGGATTCCATAGAACTGAACCATGAAAGTTAAAGTGGAATAACAGTGCTTTAATTTTATAGTGTGATATAGTGTCACAAGATTGACGCTTCACTGAACTGCATTCCAATTATTTCACTTTGAGACACAATTACTGACAGTGCAGAGTGATAGCAGTTTGAAGCCCTTTAACTGCCATATCTCCATTCTAAGGAATCATTGTTGTGACACCAAAGCTTTCTAGCAGAGAAGGGTAAACATCTTACAAACTTATAGATCCCAGAATTTTATAGCATTAAGCCAGTGGTTCTCAACCTGGGGTCCCCAGATGTTTTTGGCCTACAACTCCCAGAAATCCCAGCCAGTTTAGCAGCTGTTAGGATTTCTGGGAGTTGAAGGCCAAAAACATCTGGGGACCCCAGGTTGAGAACCACTGCATTAAGCCATAGCAGTTAATATGGTGTCAAACTGCTGTAATTCGGTAGTGTGAATTCAGCACTCAGGTCTCCTTCTGGAAATTATTCAGTTCTCTTTTCTTTCCATCTTAGAAAAATGCTCTCGAATGCACCCTGCATGAAACTGAAGCCCGCTACAGCACACAACTAGCGCAGCTCCAATGTGTGATCAGCACCATAGAAGTCCAGTTGGGTGACCTCCGGAATGATATGGAACGGCAAAACCACGAATACAAGATTCTCCTGGATGTCAAGACTCGCCTGGAAGCAGAGATTTCAACATACAGGCGTCTACTGGAGGGAGAAGACCACAAGTATGCGTAACTAAAATGCATAGGACAAAAATATATAGGTTGTGAACATTTCTTTAATTCTCACTGAGGAGCAGAGCTTAGAAGAATTCTTCTTTGGACTATGATTCCTAGAAACTCCAAGTCAATGTGACCAGTTCCCTGACCCGCTATTTACTTCCATGTCACTAGGATAGTGAATGAAACCTTGATTTTAGTTTAAAAGCCATGATGCTGAACCCTAACCTCAAAATAAGTTAGCACCCTTTCTTTAAAGATCAGAAAAAAACCTGGAATAGATTCACCAACCTGCTGACATAGGAAGCAGCAAACACCCTTGGACAATGGCTGTTCTGGCTAGAGGATTCTGGGTGTTGTAGTCCAAAAAGGGAACTTTTCTCAGCTATGCTGGAGGAGCAAACCTCATCCTGACTTGGCAGCAGATTTCCACAGGAAGTTTAGACATAGGAGATGGAATCTTCTAATTTAAAAATTGAAATTGGAGTAATCCATATTTAAACATGCACTATGATCCCCATATCTATAGGGCATATGTTCCCAAACTTACTTTGGATATGTGAAACGGCACCCTATGGAAATGCTTTCCAGCAGAAGCATAGAACATAATTGCATTGCAGGACCTAAAAAATACCTAGAGAAAGCACTGTGTAGCATTTCTAGATCTTCCAGCAAAACTCTACCCTCAACTTGGATACACTGACCTAGAAAATGTCTAGAGGGTGTGTGTGTGGGGGGGGGGGGGGGGTAAAATAGTGAGTACCTGTCCTGCAGATATAGGGATTGCACTGTGCTTTGTCATCTCTTAGATCAGTGGTTCTCAACCTGGGGGTCTCCAGAAGTTTTGGCCTACAACTCCCAGAAATCCCAGCCAGTTCACCAGCTTTCTGGGATTTGAAGGCCAAAACATCTAGAGACCCACAGCCTGAGAACCACTGCCTTAGACAATAATAACACATGTTTTCTTTGCTCTTAGGTTTCCCAGAGTTCCAAGTGTGCCAGAGTGTCCTCCACCAGTCTGTGCTCCAACTCCCCATATCACGAAGAAAATCCGCACGATTACTGAGGAGATCAAGGATGGCAAGGTTATATCCTCTAGGGAACAAGTCCAGCATGTAGCACTCTAGAACAGGAAATATGCAGATGAAACTGACCCAACACAGCAGAAAGAAGAACTCAGCATTCAGTTACACAGTGGCAAATATCAAGGGAGCTTGGTTGCTAATATCCACTTTGCTTTGAATTGATTTCAATCTTCCATATTTTGGTACATATATATTAACCTTTTCAAATAAAAGAGTGGCTTCCTTTCAGTAATATTCTTAGCCTCTGGGATAAAATATTAGCATTCTTAATAAACGCTTGGTTTGATTTTGTTTCTCCTGCATGAAACATTGGTTCTTGCTGTGGTTCATTTTATCATTGTTGGAATATGGACCTAATCACATGGACTTTGAAAAACATTGGGGACTGCCTGTCTAGCAAAGGGAATGTACCATTAGATCCCCAATCATCCCATTTTAAGTTCTTTCTTCCCATCACACATTTCTCTCTTCAGGTTTTCACCCATTTTGCCCACATTTAGAACCATAACATGGGGAATCCATTTCTCTGCCTCTCAATGTTACTTTTTTAAAAAATCAGGGAAAACCTCAATATCTGGAAGCCAAGATTACTATGGAACTCATCCCATGGGGGGGGGGGGGGTCCAAGGGATTTTAAACCCCTTTTGCCATGAAAAGTCTTTCCCATACTTTCCTTCCCTCCATTATACCAGTGAAATTATAAACCCTTTGTCTTGATCCCCTCTTGGAAGGCCTTTTTCCCCTTCATTATACCAGTGCAATTAATTATAAACCACTTTGCCATGGTCCCCTCCGGGTAGGCTTTATTTCTGTCCATTAGACCAGTATTATGTTAAAAAACTAGCAAGAGCAGTGAAAGCAAAGTTGTGAAGAACACCCATTCCTCCACATCACTGAAAAAAAATCAACATGGATGAATCTGTCAAATACCATCACATGTGTTTTTTGGCATTAGCAATGGTTCCAACATGTACCAGGGGCTCAGAGCACGATTTCTCGCCCATGTTCTGAACTCCCTCCTTTCAGTATGCTTCAGCTCCATTTCAAGCATGAAAGGCAATAGATGACAGCCGGAAGTAGGCAAAATTCATCTGATGGGTTCCATGCCACTTTGTCCTTGAAATGGATTTAAAGTGTTCTACAATGGAGAAAATGCTCCATATGATGAGATCTTATCATTCTAGGAGTCTAGGATCTGAATTGGGAAACGTAGAAACTCACTTGGTGATTTTGGAAAAGCCATGCTTTTTCAGAGTTTGAAGAAGACAATGACAAACCTCTGAATAATTTGTTCCAAGAAAACCCTAATATAGAGCTATCATAGATCAGAGTCAACTTGAAGACATATAAATATAACCACCCCTAACAATAATAACAGTATTAATGGAGAGGAAGAACAAATGATTCAAGTTAGGCATGGTCAGCGGGAAAGGAAGAGAGAAATGATAGGGAAGTTCCAACATGTTAAGAGCAATATGTTCTTCCAATATCCCACCTCAGGAGAAAGGTGGGAAATAAATACTGGTATAATCAATTAATCTTTGGGAATGTTGAGTTTTGGTTACCTTTTAATTTTTTTTAAAAAAGTTATATAAAGAATGCTTATCATAATGGCCCTTTCCAGCATAAAAATATATTTCCTGAGAACTTGGGTGAATTCTACAGAGATCTCTGGTCTAGTCATAATCATTGGGAGATGATGGCTTAAATGTCAGTATAATGAATACACCTGGATTTTAATCTAAATTTTAAATGAGCTCCCTCCCAATTCCTCGAATGACTTCTTCAAAAACTCAAGTAAAACTTGGAATGGATTTATTTCTTCACTGACAATAAAGTTGTCATCCACCAGAAAAACACGATTGGGATCCTATGAAATGAGTGGCTACAATTTGTCAAGTCATAAAAAGAGAAAAGGTGGAGAAATCTTCAACCACCTTGGGTAGCCCTATTACACCATTCCCCCCACCTTTGGGAATCCTTGGAAATTCATTGCTCCCTCTCAAAAAAGCAACAGAACCTCCCAGAGCTTGGAAAGTTAATTTTAAGATGAATGAATCCAATGATATGCCAACAAACTCATTATATTCACTGGGTTTAAAGACATCTTTCAGTATTAAGGCTTTCATAAAATGGAAGATTTTGGCCAGCTTATCACCAAATATACTGATGGACTCATTTCATTAGGAAATGTATGAGAGTGTTCTTTTCATCCCTTCTTTGTATTCATCCAGCCACTTACCAGGTGTTGGATTTAGATTGCCAAGATCCAGTATGGAATATGTCCCTACACCATAATGGATGGTATCCTTGAAGCGACTGGCTTGACTTTGAAGGAGCTGGGGGTAGCCACAGTCAACAAGGAGCTCTGGCATAGGCTGGTCCATGAGGTCACGAAGAGTTGGAAGTGACTGAACAAATAAACAACAACAAAACATAATTGTTCATGCTCTTTTTCTCAGCTGCCCCCCCCCCCCAATCTCACCTTAAAAAACAGGCAGCTGTACTGAGCAAAGGAGTGTTGTGGAACTGGCAAGAAGGATGTGTAGAAGGATGTGTCTTGTTTATTTATTTTTTAATTTATGACATTTATATGCCACCCTTCTCACCCTGAAGGGGACTCAGAGCGGCGTACAAGTAATATACAATACAATAAATAAAATAAATGCAATATCTTCCTGGACCCCTCTCTTTACTCTGGTCTCAGAGCAGCAGTTGGTTTTAGGGGGAGGGGCTCCTAACTGATGATACTGAAGACAAGATGGCACTGTCTTCTTGCCCCCTCTCTTTACTCTGGTCCCAGTCTTTAGCCAGTGAGTAATTTGTGACAAGCAAAAGCAAATGAAATAACTTATCTGTAGATAGAACCGCACTAGAACAGTCCTGATCTGGGATGTAGTAAAACAGGACTAGAGACAGGAATTTGGGAACACACCTATCATGGCAGTTCTTGTGCAAAAGACCAGAACTTGGGAAAGCTTGTTTTCAAATCCTACCACCCCCTGTAACTATGATAACAGGTAGCATACTGGCTAGAGGATTCTGAGAGCTATAATCCATTCTTTTTTCAGACTGCAAAAGCTAAAGCTGAATGAATAAATTGATGTCAATTCTAATGAACTAATATTGCTAAATTTTGCACAAAATCCCCAATTACATCTTTTTCTGTGCAGACATCACTATCTGCACAGGAATTATGGTTCCTTCATTGAGATATTATTTTCTATGCAAAAAAAAAAATGCTGTTTCCTATATGGGAAATGCTGTTTTCCATGCAAAACAACCCTGTGAAAATTTTCTCATAATAAGTTGCAAACCACAAAAAGCATTTGAAAACTTGATAGTTTTTGAAGACTTTCTCCTAATGGAAAACACTGCTGGGAAACTACTTGATTGTGTCCCCACTTTCCCGCAGTGGTAGCATCATCTCAAGACTGGACTACTGTAACGCCCTCTACATTGGCCTTCCTCTGTCGGTGATCCGGAAGCTCAAGTTGGTACAAAATGCAGCTGCTCGGCTTCTTGCAGGAATTCCAATGAGATGCCACATAACCCCAGTCTTACTACAGCTGCATTGGTTACCAATTGAGCACCAGATCACTTTCAAAGTGATGGTACTCACCTTTAAGGCCTTGCATGGTCTGGGGCCGATGTATCTGAGGGACCGCCTCACCCCCTACCAACCCCAGAGATCCCTCCGTTCTGAGGACCAAGATCTATTAGAAGTCCCCAGTGTCAAGACCTTGCGTCTAACAACAACCAGACGCAGAGCCTTCACAGCAGTGGCACCATCACTCTGGAATACTCTGCCACCTGAAGTCCGTGCCTTGCGGGACTTACCAGCTTTCCGCAGGGCATGTAAGACATACCTGTTTCGACAGGCTTTTAATGTTTGATATTGCTGTTTTCAAATTGTTTTAAATTGCTTTTAAATTTTGTTAGATTTTATCTATTCTTGTAAGCCGCTCCGAGCCCCAGGGGAGTGGCGGCATATAAGTTCAAATAATAAAATAAATAAATAAATAAATTATTGGAAGCTATTGAGAAGAAACTTAGGCTCCATCTGCACTGACCATTTAATGCAGTTTCAAAGTGATATTGAAGAAACTAGTTTCATTGTGCAGATGATTGAATAGGAAATCCCGGAACTAGTTTGAGGCCCGGATGGTGATTACACAAATCATAGAGCACTGAAGCACATTAGGGACTTTCTTTTGTGTCCTTTTGGTGGATGTTTTTTTTTATTGTTACAGTTTGAAGCTAGCTTTGAACTACATTAAATAGTTAGTGCAGATGCAGCCTATGTGAAGAATTATATCCGTAGTGTACAATAACTGCTGACCCTGTGACTTCTGACTCACAGGTGACCACCGAACTGGGAAAACCGGGGCATATGCCTAAATTCATCCTGGGATGACTCCCATGGGTTTATATAACGTGACAACAGTTTTATAAGCTTCACTTCATCATCTTACTTCTCCTGCCTTGCCAGTCTACATCCAGATTTGTTATAGCATGAAAAAAATATCAAAGGGGAGAATGTATTTCAACCCATGTACATCTCTTTATCCGTTGTTGTTAATAAATAACTAGCCTATAGAAGTGCCTATGATGGAGTTAAGATATAAAAGCCCAATTTAGTACATATCACTTTTGATGAGGTTGGAAAAGTAGTTGTATCTTTTATTCTGCTTGTTGCAGTTCAAATGAAGATTTGATTGAGCAGTACTTGGAAAACTAAGAGCAATATTTAGAAAAATTGCATCTCCATTTTAACAGATGTATCAGATGGCCTATCATTCAAAACTACTGATTGGTTATTTCAGGGCAAACCAGAAGATAAATTAATTAATATTTTATTCATTACACCAGTCTTCCCCAGCTCATCACCCTCCAAATATGTTTTGACACAAAATCCAGCCCTGGTCAGCATGGACATTGACTGGTGATGATGGAGGCTGCCATCCATCATATTTAAAAAGTGCTGGGTTAGAAAGATTGTATTGTATATTCTTCTCATTCTTGTTGCAAATGGACTGTAAACCTGCATTGCATACTAAAGTGCTGAATTTTGCTGCCTTGCATTGATTTCCATTCTGATGCTTCTCAGCCCTGCTTGATCTGCTATTCTCGGTTATAATCTTGAGTTCCTAAGAAGTATTTCAATCAAATTTCACTTTCATGCTGTCATTCTGAATTTTACTTTAATCTTATTACCTCCCACTGCACTGTTATACATGATCTGCATCTTTTATTGAAAGATTTGCTGACTTTGGATTTCTTCCTAG